GACCACGCTGCCACAGCCCCGCTCGCCGCTTCCGAGACCCCCCCGTCACCCGAGGAGACTCCCCAGCCGGCTGCCACCGGGGACCCGCCGCCCCTCCGGGAAAAGGTCCCGCTGGAGTCACTCCCCAGGGCTGCGGGAGCCGGGGGGCAGGTGGCCCAGGCCGATGCCTCTGGCCTGCTTTAGGTTGGATGCACCCAAAAACTGAACGAACAAACCGTGGCCACGCAGCCTCCGGGCGGGCGTCGATGCTCCAGAGCTGGGTGACAATGCGGGCAGTGCCCGACGGGCACAGGGCCTGCACGGCCACCTCTGCCACACGCCCAAAGGAGGGGCAGGGGCACGGGCAGCACCCACGGGCAGCACCTGGTGTAAAAACCAGGTTGGTCATGAGCAGGATTGTCCCAGGCTGAGCAAACGCCGGGCAGGGAGAGCGGAAAATCGCGTTTATTGGAGAAGCCGACCCCAGCTGGGATGTCCTTGGAAAAGGCACCACTGTGAAACCCCCTGCCCAGCCCCGCCAGGGCTCTGGAGGCAAAGCAACACCGTGGCCCCCACAGAGGCTCAAACCCCGACTGCCTGTTCACAGCGTTAACGCCCGTCAGGTTTTTCACCATCAGAAACAATATTTACACCCCCTCTGCCAGAGAGAGGGGGCAGCGTGCACTCAGCTCAGGTCGAACAATGAAACCGTTAGGATTATTTTAAGTACGTGAGGGTTTTGGTTTTTTTTTTTCTTTAAAAGAGCAAGAGTAATTAACCACCAGAACGTATTAGCAGCGTATCAGGGATGCAGCAAACGCTCCACCACTCAGTTGTTTCAGACGAAGGCTGGCATCCTTTCCGAGAGAAAGCTTCTAGTCTCACCGCACACAAAAAAGGACAAACCAGCCGGTGCTCTGCGGGAGGCTGAGCACGATGAACATAATGGTCTCTCCTAGCTGCAAAACCTGCAAATCTCGACACTTCCATTTCCCAGCTCTTATTAACCAGCAGACAGGAGCATTGCTCTGATTGCAGAGAGAGAGCAAGAGGATCCCCGAGTGCTGACAACAATAGTTGCTGCTGTTTGCAGCACGGCCAGCATGGAAACGTGTCAAAATCAGGAAAAGCTTCAGCAGGCGAGGGAGCGAGGAGGCACCGGCCAGCGCGGGGGCACGTTCACACACAAGTTCGGTGCCGTTTCGGTTGGATTTGCCAGCACTGGAAGCGACAACACAAACCTCTTGCACACCCAGGAGCCGCAATTACTGGGAATGGGGCAATGTGCTCTAACATGTCAGCCCCCCATTTGCCTACATCCCAGAAACTGGTGTTAATTAAAGCAGCTGGTAATTGTCTGCAATTGTCTACATGAGCAGGGGGCTCTCTGAAGCCGTAAGAAACCCTGCGGAAGCAAACAAGATCCGTACGGATCCACAGCAATCCCAGAGTCCACGGATTGGACCAGACACCCCTGTTTTCTAGCAATTTTATCTCGTAGGTGCATTGAAGTTTCATCCTCTCAACAGGTATCCTTGGACATGGGCTTTAGCTCGTGTCTTTGATCTGGCGACGTAAAGAAGAAAATACTGAAGTGTAACATCTGAGATGTTCATCTCAAATTTAATTTTAGGGACATCTTCTCCCACGCATGCAGTCACACATTAGCATGCATCAGAAGTACAGCATCCCCTTTAATGTTTACTCATCCTTAGATTGCAAAAATTGTTGTGTGAATTCCTTCTTCAATTAGCTCTGGTACTCGAAAAAAAATATTGTTCCGTTGCCAGTACAGTTATGATCATTTCTTTCCTTTATACTTTTATTCCCCAGTGTAACTTAAAAAGAAAATGCTTCTGCAGTCTCCCCTGCAAAGCCCCCTTTAAAAATTTTTAAAACAAAAACAACCAACGTTTCTAAAGGAAAGGCTTTTGTGGCTGAAGTGCCACTTCCATTCACCTTTCTATCACGTAAGGGAAAAAAATAAAGATCAGAAGAAGGATTTAGACAAAAAGCCAACTAAGTAAAGCTAATTTTTATACAGAAGAATCCTGCTAGTTGTGTAGAGGAGCTTTGTTGAGTGGAACAGAAAAGACATCAGAGGCGGCTCTACAGCAGGTTTTCAAACATTTCCAGCCACCTTCCCAACGTGCAGCCTCTATCCCACAATAAACACGGAGACGCAATTGCAGAGCAGCTCCCGTACCCACAGAGCACTGCAGGATTAACTCTACCATCTCGTCTGCGGCATTTGGTGAGGAAAACTGGCCCAGACACTCCCTGCGAAGAGCCCCGGGGCCAGAGGGATGCTGACAGTGACTTCAGAAACACGGGAGCAAAGTTGTGAGTGCAGCGACAAATGGGGGCGTGAAGTTCCGCTTCCAAGTGACGCGGTCACCTCTGAAGTCCCTAAAGCTGTTTGGCAAGAAGATTCCTCATGTCTCCCTGTTTCACAAAGGTGAAATCTAAAGCACAGGTGACCTGTGTGAAGCCAGATGAGCACAAGAAGTGGAACACAACAACCCCCGTCCCAGTGCCCTCCCAGTGACACCAGTAACACTGGCTGGCTGGTCCCTAACCCAGGGCTGGAGATCTGCCCGGACGGATGACACCCAGCTGCTCTGGAATCTACCTCCTTGACAAAGGGCTCTGAAATCCATGAATGAAACACACTTTATCCCCAGCAAAACGCTGTTTCTCTCTTTTTTCCACCCTGAGTGACCAGAGGGACTCGGGCCATCTCACACCGTACAGCGACCAGAAATCTCACACACAGTTGTTCACACACACCCCCAGAAAAGCCCAACTTTATACATGAACCATCTTCAAAAAACAGGTCTGGGTGCAGAGAGCAAGAAAAGCGCTTTTCTACGCCGCCAGAAAGCCAAGAGGTGGTTCCTCCCCCAGAAACCTGCCGCAGAGGTTATTTTGCACTCCACGGAGCGCGGCGGCGAGGTACAATGCTGCAGTAGCAAACAGGCTGGTGAAATCAAAAGAGCTTACCAGCACTCAGCAAAGGGCCTGCAGTTCCCATTTCAAGGAAGGAAATTTGCATCCAAAGCATCAAGAGCACTTTAACTTGAGTTTAAAATAAATTCAGAGCAGATCCATGCCGCCAGCTTGCGTTTGTGACCGGAATCCCAGCCAGCACCAGCCTCAACTTCTCCCCAGCTGGAGACCTCAGCCAGAGCCTCTGCTCGGTGGCAGTGACAGCCCCAGACTGTAGCAGCGAGCTCTCTGCACCCAGACCTGTTTTTTGAAGATGGTTCATATATAAAGTTGGGCTTTTCTGGGGGGGGGTGTGAACAATTGTATGTGAGATTCCTGGTTGCTGTACGGTGTGAGATGGCCCGAGTCCCTCTGGTCACTCAGGGTGGGAAAAAGGGAGAAAGAGCGTTTTGCTGGGGATAAAGGGTGTTTGATTCCTGAATTTCAGAGCCCTTTGTCAAGGAGGTAGATTCCAGAGCAGAGGGAAAGCGTGCCCGGGGAAGGGTGTGGAGGCCAACGCACCTGCAGCTCGTCTGGCAGGCGCAGGCCATGGCCCTTTGTGCTGGGGCTCCCAGCCCCCTGAGCCTGAAAACGGGCAAGCGCTGGGTCTGCACCCCACCACAGCTCCCAGCACCTCCCTCAGGCCAGGGCTGGAAAGGCTGCCCTGCCCGCGCCACTGCCGCTCCTTCATTAACCACCGCAGGTAATTTTGCCCAGCACGCTCCCCAGGGAAAGCCGGGTGCACGCCAAAGGGTGCCGCTGCGCCAGGGCTGGGTTTCCACACGCCTGTGCGAGGCTGTGCCGCGCTTACCGGAGGCTCTCAGACTTGGAGGAGAAGGGAGCAATCTCTAGGCCAGGCTTTAGTGCTGCTGGGGTTTATGCCAAGCCTTGGACCAGCCCAAGACAACTCTGTGCTCTGCACAGACAAGCCTCTCCCTCACGGCTGCGAGCGCCCGTGTGAGCAGGGAGCCTACGGCTTAATTTAATCAAATTAGGGTATCTGAACACTTTGTCTGTCCCTGAATCATAACAAGCCTTTACGAACAAGTACTAACAGGGTTAGGTTAAATCCGGCTACGATAAAGCCAGGGGCGAGAGCAGCACCCGCAGCTGGGAGAAACCTTCTCCAAGAGCCGCCCCAAAACCTGCTGCCCCCCCACCCCAAAGCCAGGAGAGCCAGCCCCTGAGAGGGCACTTCCCCCTCGTTCCCAGAGAGCTGCTTGAGGGCAGATTTGCCTTTTTAAGGCATCAGAATTTATTTTCAGCTTCACCAGGTGCTGCCGGTGCCCGTCAGCCAGCATGTCTGGTCTGCGAGTGCCATCTACAGGGTTGCCCTTCTCCCCAGCCTGGCCTTGCCACCGGCTGCCCCCCCCAGTCCCCCCAGTAACAGGGGTGAAACACGGAGCCAGTGACAGCCTGGCAGCCGTGCTGTGCTCCAGGAGGAGCGTGCAGCCTCCCGGGCGCAGGACACAGGGACACGACCCCAAGAGACACGGGGCACTGGGCTTCAGTCTCCCCAGTGCCACTCACCTACGTACCAAAACCTGCACAACCACCCTCCTCCGCGAGCGGGCCAAGAGCAGGTGTGTGAGCACCAGGGAACGCCCTTAATTCCGCTCAGGCTTTAATTCTTGGCACTGAGGGGCTGGGACATCCCCAGCCAGGGGACAGCCTCTCCTTCCCGACTCCTGGATGAGCAAAACCTAACTTGGTTCTTCCGTGCGGAGAGGCTGCGATCACCCCTGCAGGGATTTTACTGAGTCTTCTGTACCAGAAAAGGGATTAACGTAAGCAGAGGGAGAAAGGAAAGGGAGCAGACTTTAGAAAATTGAAACAACCCCCAGGACGATCAGTGAAGGTGGGCAGCAGGCAGTGAGGGGAGCGTGGATCTAACATGCAGCAGGGTGTAAGCGTGGCCAAGCGGAGCGCGGGGCGATGCTCCACGAGAGCAGCGAGCAGAGAAAGGCTCCAAAAAGCACCGACCTGGCCCCACAGAACCACCCCGACTGCCGGCGGGCCCGCACGCTGCCGCCGAGGAAACGGAACGCTTTATTTCATTTGTTCCAAGATACAATGGAGGGGGGGAAGCTGTAAACGATAGTAAACCAATGGATCAATAGAGGACTGGTTGCTATTTAAAAATAAATCAACAATTCAAGCGGGAGGGTGGAAGACTATCTCCTCCATTCCTGAGAGCACAGACGACACAATGCACTCAAGTGCTGGTTTATTGACTTCTTGGCAATCTGCTCGGACCACAGGTCCATCTCGCAGCACTTCGGCGCGGCAGATCCCATTCCAGTCACACGTACAAATGAAACAAAACAGAAGCACGTTATGAACGACAGAGAGCTGAGGCTCGCACTGCTCCCAGTCAATCTCATTAACCTCGGCAGACGGCCCAGTCGATTTCCCTGGTAGTTCAGGATCAGCAGCAGAGGATCCGATACAACCCTCCGAGAAGATCAGAGGCAATTACGTAAACTTTTGAAATTAGGCTTTGGCTTAAACAATAGTGATTGTTCCAGGCGGACTCTGTAGCAGTCACTTGTGCCACGCGCAGGCTGGCGACCGCGCAGCGTCGTTGGGAGCCCCACGCTCTGCTCTCGGTCCTCCTTGCCTGCTCCGGCAGCCTTTTGGCAAGCATCAGCCCTGGCCAACAGCAAAGGGCAGTCGGAGTCCACAGAGCCTCCCACTAACACCCTGATCCACTCTGGAGAAAGAAAAGTGCAGCAGTAGCTGGTGAGGCATCAGCCTGCCCAGGGACAGAGCCCGTTCCTCTGAGCAGCGGCGCGTGGTCGCAGGAGCTGAGCCCTGCGCGGCTGCGGCCCTGCAGCTCCCAGGCCAGAGCTGGCTCAGAGCATACGGGCGTCTGTTTGCATCCGTGTGTTTAAATCTCTTCGGAAAAACTACCGGAAGATCCAACCGTTGCAAAGAGACCCACTAGGCTATCAGCACAGGTACCAAATACACAGAAAGTAACTAAACCGATAATGGAAGTAACTGCTGAACTGCTCTCTTACAGAAACATAAAGCAAGGCTTTAAAAGCCACTATTATTAGCAAGATCCACCACCACCCCCTAGAAAAACCTGCACTGGCCTCACGCTCATTGCCCATGGGTGCACTGTTCCGCTGCTGTGAGGAGAAGCTGTTGCAACAACTCCAATTTATTCTTCCAGGAGAAACGGAGATCAGCAACAGCTGTGCCAAGCAATAGATTTGTCCTCGAAGGAGTCTCAGGTCTGTAATCAGCATCTTTGTTTTCTCCTCGCAGAAAATGCCTTTAACAATGACTTAGAACGGAGCAGGAATGTAATGTCTTGGCCTGCAAAGAGCAAATCCAGACCACCGACTGCTCCCAAGATGCAGGATGCTTCAGGGGAAAATGGGAACAGCCACACAGGGTCACTGGTTCCAGCTCAAACCTGCCTCCAGCCAAAATGGGATCAGAACAGGAGTGAAAGCGATGCTGTGCGCTACAGCCCCACCATCAGCTCTTTACTCTGCACCCCTGCACAGGCGGGCAGCAGAAGGGCTCTGTAAACACGTCCGTGGTGCTCAGACACGGGGCTGGCACACCCGCCCGGCCCTCAGCACCATTCACCTACACAGTGCCACAGCAGGGGCCACGTTATGTGCTCGGGCTGGGTCCCCCCACACCTTCCCTTGCTCAAATTCTAAATACCTACTACAGCACAATCAAACTCTATCAAAATTATTTCCATGGTAGAACCTACGGCTTGAGGTCCCCCCTTTGATCAAAATCATTCAACTGTTAAAAAAAAAAAAAAATCCCCTCCTGCAAGGCAAGGAAGCTTCAAAATCACAAACACCGTCTGTCCGACGAAGAGCAGAGCCTAAAAACGATCGAGTCAGTCGCCTCAGATAAAGGAAGGCCAGCGAGCATGTCAGTCCCAGCGCTGAGCCAGGGCACGCCAGCAGACTGAAATACAGTCAGGTTTACCTGGCACAATGCAAGAAACAACTTTGCAGAGGGAGTTGAAGAGCCAGAGAAAGTTATCAGCGTGCGCATAGACCTGCCAGCCTGTGCAGGATCAAGGGAGACACACCGCCAGGAACCAAACAAATCAGCTCTCTGATCACCCGAGGGGCAGCAACGGACAGATTTAGCCATCACTGCTGTCCTCACAGAGGAATGCCGTGAAGGCTTTCATCTCTGCATCAACCAAACAAGCAGAAAGTACCTAAAAGAGGCATGAAAGGATAGAAATGATATGAAATTAGGGCACATCCAAGCACTGTGTTCACATGACAGCATTACTAAAAATATATATATATTTTAAAATCTTTTGCACGTGTGCAAGAGAGAGCTGCCAGCACCTGGGGTGACATTTCTCCAGGAAACCTCACCCCCTCTGCACTGAGAAATGCTGCCCCTCGCTCAGGCGGGCGCCAGGACCTCACCGCTCCCACGGCCTCAGGAGGGACTTCAGAGCAGCAGCTAGAGCCTGAGCTCCCGGGCGACTCACAGCAAACCCGTTCGTCCTCGCTGTCTGGTAAGGATATCCCTCCTGCTCAGCCCTTCTCGTTGTCAGTTTTGTCCCCTTACCTACAGAGGATTTGCTAACCGAAAGAAGGGAGCCATGACTCCAGAGAGAAGGGAGCCATGACTCCAGAGACATTCTCTACCTTCATCTTCAAGGCAAGGTCAAGCAGGGAGCTCCCCGCCCGCAGGGCAACTCCCTCAGCTTCTCCTAACAAAGGCACTACCAGTTTGGGGTGGGAGTGGGACTTAAGGATACAGGTCTGCACTGCCCATCGTTTTCAAGGAAGGGCCTTCCCTTCAAGGCTGAAACGTGCCATAAACAGGAGCACTCTGCAAGCAGTTTTTACTGTTTCAGCAGCAGATCCACCTAACTGTGACCTTCTACTACATTCACATCTTGGCCCTACGCAGTAAGAACCCAAATATCAACGCAATGGGCTGCCCAGAAACATCCCAGTTTGCTGGGCTGACAGCGGGACGTAGCTTGAGCTTCAGCAAGTGGAGTGAAACTCCAGTACCCTTCAAGGAGATTATTTCTGAGCCAGGGCTGTGCAGCTTCAAGAATCACAGTTCATAGAGTCCGGGTCCTCCTTTTCCAGTCATCAGATGCTCCGAGACAGGTCACTCATCACACGAGCAGTTCAGGTGCTCCGACTCAATCCACGGTGCTCTGGCTCTTCCTGACAGAGCCAGCAGCTCAGACTCCAGCAGCTTGGCAGATGTCACACGTTTCTCTGGTGAAAGCACCACGGGAGCTGGGCAGAACGGTCTGAACACTCTGAACACTCGCAGCCCCACAGGCTACACAACCCACTGCTCTTTTGGAAATGCTCCTCTGGGCTAAGTGGCACCTCTCACTTGTAAACGTGTCTTTGCTCTGTAAACCCACGTAATGACCTGCATTACCGTGGCTGCTAACCCTGCGACTACAAGAAACTCGATGCATTCTCTCTCTGAACACAACACTATCCACACCCACCGCACTAGTGTAACAGACAACAAGAGCTCTCCCAGCTCAGAGCTGATTACAGAGACACTTCCTAATGAAGTAACCAGATACTGCATGAAGAGGATCAGCCTGCAAAAGAAATCCAGTCGTCTGACACTTCAAGCTGACTGTCACAGTCACCGATGGGCCAGCAGACGCAGCTGCAGCACTGGAGTCCAGAGCGGCAGGATTTCAAACGCTGAGCATTCCTCCAGAGTCACGTCTTCCTCAGCATCTCCCTCTGCAGTTAACAGCACCCAGTGCAGCATCACTTAGCTTACAGCTCCACCTTTCCCGAAAAATGCGTGTGAAGAAAACAGGTTTGGTCCCCTTTCCCCTGCCCCAGCTATGGAAGTGTTTAATTAATAGTCATTATAAGCATATATAAAAAAATAAAATTTGAGCACTGGTAAGGTGATTCCACCGGACTTGCACCCCCTTGGTCAGTCTGTGAAGTCGGTGCCGCTGGTCCCAAATCATCTGGAAAAAGAAGACGCCCAGCATCAGAGTGAGGATGTACAAGGTGACATGGAGACAGCTGGGGGAGCCGAGAGGCCAGGCAGTGAGCCCCGCTCCTCCTCAGCTTTAAAAAAGCATCCTCCAGAGAAACCAGACTCGCGTGATCCGCGGGGTGAAAGCACATCGCTGCGAAAGCAGGAATGGATGCCCCAACGGGACCAGGAGTTTTAGCTGCAATGTGACTTGGCAGCAATTCCTAAACTGAAAAAAACAGGATTTTTTGTTTTCCTGTCTGACGCAGGGAGGCTCAGACTGCCCGTGCGGGCTGTCTCTCCCTCCTACGGGCCTGCGAAACACAAGGCACCAAGTGGTGCTCCAAAGAAACTGGGGTACGTCCCCTTCAGCCGCCTGGTCAGAAAATGAAGAAAGGCGAGATGAAGTCTGTGCGCCAACACAGAGAGACCAAACGCAGAAGTGTAATTTATGCAGATCTGGTTATAGGATCTGTGCCAAAGCTCCCACGGCTTTAGAAAAGGAGCCTCTCAGCCCCTCGTGAGGAAAACACACGCGACACCCGCTTACCGCCTCAGGTTTCTCGTTTCAAACACCGTGTCCTCGTCGCTGTCGAACGAGGCCATCTCTATGTTCTCATCGTAATTCGACAGCAGGCCGTATTTCTTCCGCTGCGGTTTCTTCAACCTGAAATGAGTTCTGCGCTCACTTCGGGGTCCCTCCGACCTAGGGCTGAGGGACACGGAGAGCGCAGGGTGAGTGTGCGGTCACGGGACGGGCCTGCGGGGAGCCGGGAGTCCACGGGCAAAACCAACCGGACCGGGAGATGGTTTAGCGCTGCTAATTACCTCAGGTCATTAACAGCGGCGTGAATTTGCCAGAGCATTTCACACACGCTGCCTGAGGGGTGCACAGGGAAGCAGAGCTCCGGCCTGGCAGGGAGAGGGCAGGGGGGAAACCGGGACGAGCAGGGACACGGCCCCG